AAATATTCCCCAGAGGCCCATGAGTTAAAGGTTTGGTTCCCAGCTTGTTATTAGAAGGCATTAAAGAGATAGTGCCCTGTGAGAGAAAGTTATGTCATGGGAGGTGTGCCCTTGAAGGGCATATTGGGGACCTTACCCCTTCCTCTTTTTCTACTCTTGGCTGCCAAAAAGTAAACAGTCTTCTCTGCAATGCATTCCCACCATGATATTGTGTGCTACCACAGGTCCATTAAAATGGTGCCAGTCGACCTAGAACTGACACCTCCAAAACTGTGAGCCAAAATAAACCTTTCTTTAAAGTCGATTATTTCAGGTATTTTGTTATAGTAATGTAAAACTACCCCCACCAACACACAATTTTAAGAAATGTATGTGACATGGTCTATCAGAAAGGAGAGTTGAAATTGCAAATTAATGTGTCCAGCTCATTGCTGGTTACAAATATTTTTGAGTTGGACTAGCTGAGGAATCAAAAATAACAACATTTTGGCATTAGACCTTGATAGGGGCTAAGGCCTGTAAAGAAAGTAGGAAAATTCCAGGAAGAAATCGCTTGAATTACTTTTGGCAGATATAGTAACTATTGGAAATTTTATTTTAAGAACTACCATGTTGAAAGCATCTTGCTCCACCTGTGTCAGTTGGTGGGAATGCTGTTTTTCCTATTCAAAGACAGTATTTGAATTAACAGCAACATCAGCTATCAATGGAAAAATTGATAATTTTGGAAACCTTTATTAACTTTTTGACCAATTGGCTTAAGCCTCTTCTGTTGTACCCTATAAATATTGAATAATTAGACTATGGGAAGGTAACATCAGTACATTTTTAATTAATTATATAGACACAGTGAGTTTCTTCAGGAAGAAATTTTTGACATAGACTTACATTTTGAACCATATTTGTCAAATTCTTTGGAAATTTCATGGTATTTTCTTTTTCTGTTTGTTTTCACTCACCCTTTGGTCTAGTTGTTCACTGTGTGCATGTTTAAAATCAGTTTCCATAGTGACATCTGGTGGTGGTTTTGAAATCCCAGGGAATATGATTGGAATGATAAATATTTTTACTTAATAGCTACACATTTCCGGCTTCTTTCAAATTTTTCAGCTACTTAACAACTTTTAAAAAAATGCCTTCATTGTATTCTTGAGGTTAGAAAGTCAGGCATTTATGTTTTTCTGTAATGCTTTGTTGAAGTAAAGGGTAATACTACTAGGTGGTACACATAGCAAGCATGTCTAAACTTGTCTCCTGTGCTCAAAATATACATCTTTACCATATTGCCCTGCTTTTGTATTATAATCTTCCAATAGGAAAGGTGTGTGATATCCTTCTCCCTGGCTTTGGTCCTCTTTACATCTGGCTGGAAAGATTTCTGTGAAAAGCCTCGGCTTTCCACTTCTGTCTTTTGACAGCTGGGCCTTACTGTCCTCTAGTTGTATACCATATTGCTATCTCAGAGAGTAAAAGAGGAATTAGAGAAGATGAGCAGAGGTGGCTTTGCAGGAAAGAAGCTGAAAGAGGGAGAGAGGTTTGAAGGTAGGAGGGAAAAGAGTTTATAGGTGGATGTTTATATATACCCAAATATGAAATACCGTTTTGAGTATTGTTCAGGAAAAATATCTGTATTTTTTGTTGATTTCTTTTTTTTTCCAGGAAAAATGAATTTATAACCCAGTATACAAAAACGTAATTATTGAAAGCTAATTGGCAATTGTGGATTAAGAGAAGTAGGAGATGAGATAGAGTCTTGAAAATGAAGGCAGCAGTTTGATTCACATCCAGTGAAGATTAAGAGGCTTTAGTTTTATTTTTGCTTTTCTCTTTGTTAATGGTACTAATTAGAATTTTTCACAATGGAAACTTTAAATTGTTTCTTTTTATTGAATTAAGGTAACTGTTAAAGTTAGAAGAAATCCATCTCTAATCTATAAATGCTAGTTGCATCTTTAGGCAGGTCTGGTAAAAGGAGAACGATAAAATGTAGGAATAGCAACTTACAGTGACTTAAAGAATAAACATTGCTTTTAGTTAAGACTCTAGACGGTGGCCTTCAGGACTCCTCTGGACTTCTGTAAAGAATGGTTTCGATTCTGATGAACCCTTGACTAATGAGGTACATCCATCTGGATTCTAAACTCTGCAGAGTCCAGGAATTCATGAAATAGAAACATTGGGCATTGTACTCATTAATATTTATATTTTAGTTGCTAGTTAGTACAATCCTAGTTTTCTCCCATATTTGAATAGAAGCACCTTGTTTTCCCTTTTAAAAACTTCAGTAATATCTAGAGATTATTTGGGACTCAACCTGATTATTTGAGAATCAACCTGAGTATGGCAAGAGGATCATACAAAAAAGTATGGGTGCTCCCCCAGTTGCCCAATTGATAGGGAGAGGCACTTTCCTTGTCATCTTTTATCTGGACACTTACAGATCTGACTAAAAGCAGAATGAAAGGAGAAATAAGTAGCTGTTTTATCTATAATTATGAACCCCATAATATATTTGCATTTAGGATTTCGTTCTTCCCTTCACCTGAGACTAGAAAAGACTCTTGTATATGAATGAGCATATTCATCTGAATGATAAAATAGGAAGTTTGACTTGTCTTTTCAGAGTTATCGTATTAAGTTTTGTTTACTCCACTTTTGTCCTATTAAGAATAGCACTGTCAGGGAATTTTACTGGCTCCAAAATCCAGAGATTTGTGGTATCTAAATTTGAACTTTGCCACTTATTGTGACCCAGGGAAGTTCCTCATCTCTTGAGTTTTTCTTAAGTGGAATGGGGATAATAGCACCACAATGTAGGCAGGTTGGAAATAAAGATTAAATAAGATAATACATGCAAAACACTTAGAGTACCTGGCATATAGTGAACATTGAGAAAATTGTTTCTGTGGTTATTATAATTTTTAAATGCCCGTAATCACTTTTAGACATACACACTTTTTAAAAGTGCAAAGCATCATCAAGTATTTGAGGATTATGACTAAAAATTGGTGAAGAAAATCACCATGTATTTGTCTGCTTGACATTTGCTAGTGATCACTAGTCAAATGACTTTTTAGGGAAGTAGCAGAACAGGAGGAGCATGTGCGCATTCATTCTGTTTTCCTTGGAGAAAGTGTCCCAGAGTCCCGACTTCCTTTGTAATGAACACGATGAATAAGAGAAACTAGCAAATTATTTTCTCAGACTATAAACATAATTTTAGTAATTTCGTGAATGACTTGAGCATGCATAGATGATGTTTGGTACTGAGTTAAAGAGAAAACATATCTGAGCTTCTCTTTGTTTGCCACCTAAAGAGATGAGCTCCTTTTTCTTTAGTTCTGAGGCGTTGTTCCATATTTCTAGAAGTATTATGTTGTTTTAAGGGATTCATGGAAGGCAGTAGTAAATAATTATAGTGCTTCATAGTGGCTGTAAACACTCATCTTAGGATACTTCAGCTCACACTTAGTTTTTTTAGTTAAGTTTCTAGCATTTAATATAAGTGATTTTATTCTGATATTAACAATCTTAATAAGCAAATGCTTAAATTTAAATAAAATAAATAAAGCAAGTTAACTATAGTTAATAACAGTGTATTGTATTGAATATTGCTAAAAGAGTAGGTACTAGTGTTCTCACCATGAGAAATGATAACTGTGTGGAGTAATACATATGCTTGATTGAGCCATTCCATAATGTATACATATTTCAAAACATGTTGTACCCAATAAGTATACATAATTTTTGTCAATTAAAAAAATAAAATTATAGATTTTTTGGTTGAGTTAAATCCTGTTTTAATATCTGTTATTTTTCTTATATTATTTTGCATGGGATAGAAAAGGTCAGTGATCTCCAAGGATTTCTGAAGTTCAACTTGGTCTGAGATATTGAACACTTTAAGTATCATTAGTTCAGAATGATCAGTCTGTAAGAAAAAATGTGGTATATTTGGGGAGCCAAAGGGCAAGATTACACCTTTTCAGCATACCCACTTTTAATCATATTGTCAGGAGGCAATTGTGGGATTAAGTAAGGTGTTCATAGGTCTCCATGGCTGGGCCAAAATGATACAGATACTCTAACCCTCTTAGTAGTAATCGCATGACTCCATCTCTTACTAGTTGACTTAAAAAATATGAGTTTGGGTCTCAGTTGAGGACTTTTTATATCAACCCCAGTTAAGATATTTATGCATTGTGTTTATTCACTTAATAAGAAGTTGTTGTGCTTTGTATAAGGTGCTAGAAATACTAGTATTTGAGAAGGATGTACCCTTCTGCAATTTCTAGCATTAGCTAGAGAATTTATATTTTTATATCACACTAGTTCTTGGTAATTTAAAGAAATGGAAGAATTTGAGGACACAAGAGACCATTTACTCTCTTTTCTTAACCACTTAAAAGGGGTGTATAAGTCAGATAAAGATGTCTAGAGGAGTGTGCTCCCAATCTTTCCATAGCTGTGGCAATGATCAGGTGAATACAGACTAGGGAGCAGGGCATAGTAGACTGTGGGACTTGGATCTGAGCCATAGCTCTGGTTTTATCCTGATTTCTTGATTAACCTCTAGGAAAGTCAATACATCTCAAATAATCATAACTCTCATCTTTGGCAAAACAAAATATTGGCCTTTAGATGATCTCTTAGTGCGCATTTCATGAGGTTGTTTAGAGACTTAGATAATACTTTTTAAACTGCTCCATGTGGTGAGTGATACCTGATTCTAATAATAACATACTTTTCTGTTGCACATTATGTAACACACATTGCTTAATCATTTCATATGTATAGTTCACTTAATCAGCCTATTAGGAATGTGCTGTTATCTCCATTCAATAGGAAAGGAAATTGAAGCACAGAGATGAAATAACTTGCTTAAGGTTGTGCAACTAAGAAGGACATGTAATAAATCGTTTGTATGTTGACACTTTCCCAAAGTGGCATTTTTTGTTGTTCTTGGCATGACACCTCACATTTTTCTTCTTTTTCTGTAGGTGTCATAGAGACTTCAGACCGACTGGACCGTGAATCGACCTCCCATTACTGGCTAACAGTCTATGCAACTGATCAGGGTGTAGTGCCTCTTTCATCATTTATAGAGATCTACATAGAGGTTGAGGATGTCAATGATAATGCACCACAGACATCAGAGCCTGTCTATTATCCAGAGATAATGGAAAATTCTCCAAAGGATATACCCGTGGTCCAAATTGAGGCATTTGATCCAGATTCTAGCTCTGATGACAAGCTCACATACAAAATTACAAGTGGAAATCCACAAGGATTCTTTTCAATACATCCTAAAACAGGTATGTGTTAATACTGTTATGTGACATGTTTATGTGTATTCTTTCTTCGTGTTGAGGAAATTAAGAATTAACATTTATCTGTTGCACACTTTTCTTTGGTTTTGGTAAATCATTCTCTTTCAAATTATTCAAGACAAACCTTTATTATCAGCTAAAATTATTTCCAGATGTCTTTTTTTTTTTAATTTTGGAGTTTTATAAAGCTATTTTACGATATTTCTTAATAACAGACTTGACTTTGAGGCTAAAAAACAAATATTATTATCTCAGTAGTAGTTCCTGAATGAGTGTTGTAATTTTACAGCACATTCTGTTACTGAGTATTTGAATTTTCTTTAATATTTTTTTAGTTGTTGATAGACTTATTTTATTTATTTATATGCGGTGCTGAGAATCGAACCCAGTATATCACACAATGCCAGTCAAGTGCGCTACCGCTGAGCCCCAGCCCCTTGAATTTTCGTAATTCCCCTTTTTGTACAGAATATTGGAAGAATTTACTAGTTTTTAAATATTGTTTTAAATTTTTCCTGTGGAGCAGTACCTGTAACTCTGTAGGCAGAAGGGGGTTAGGATTAAGCAGTTTTCAAATCGGAAATAGTTACTTCCTTGAAGAATTCCCTCAGACCTTTAACTCATAACTCTTCTCTCAATGTCTGTGACCTCCTGCTTAAGGGGATAGTTCTATGACCCCCAAGTACTCCTCCCAAATTCTTGTGAACTACAATCTTTGCTCTTTTACATTTGACAATGTATTTTGCTTTTTTTCCCCTTAGTTCTTAGATCTCTTTTGTATTATTTCATAAGATATTGAAGGTGGTTATCATTTGGGTAGTAAAAAACTTAGTTTTCATTTTTTGGATGAAAACTTCATATGTGAGGGTAGAACATTTGATTTATTGATCATTTAAAATAACTATTATATGATATTTAGAGGATAGTTTATTTGGAGAAAAATAAATTATTGGCCTTGATGGAGATGTTGTATAGTTAGTACTTGCTGGTAACATTTAATAAACAGACAAACTTTGAAGAGCAAGATTTATATACCTCTAGCTTACCTTTGTTTATCCTATCTTATATTACTCTAGGGTAATTGGCCTGTCCAGTTATTGGATTGTGTATTTGAAATGTCAGGGAAATAATACACAAACATCAAAATTAAGGAAGAAGCATCCTTACGTTCCTTGCCCATCTTCATTACCCACTTCCTCCTCTTTAGTGTCATTCTTATTTCTTATTTTCTTTTCAACTTAAAAGGAATCAATTCTTAAGGTGGAAAGAAGGCCAAGTTTAAGACCTCTGTAGCAAATGCTAGTTGAAAGATCCCGATAGAGATCATCTATGTATATAGTATTTTGTCTCTTGAAAAGTATTTTAAAAATGTTAGTTTGTACACTTGTCAGCATATTCCAATCTGATATTTGTAAACACTTTTTTATTATTAAAAGTAAACATAAGTTTCAGATCTATTTAAAATTATTATATATGTTTTGCTTTGGAGCAATTATCTTCTAGCCCTTTGGGCAGATTCTAGTATGTTCCTTTAACAGAGTTTGGATTCTTAGAAAATGATAATTGATTATTATTAAGCCTGTTTGAGCCTTATAGGAATTTAATTATATAAAAGTGAAATTTTCAGGATCTGAAGAGTTTTTCTATAAGGAAGCATTGAGAGTAGAGTCAGGACCATAAGCCTAAGAAAAAAGGCTGGAATTAAGACTAGAACCTGCCAAGCTTGGAACAGTCCTTGTAAATGATTAATAAAAGGCTTGTTTTAGCATTGTTGTTGTATGTTGTTTTTACTGCACAGACGGTAACTAAGTTCACCCTCCTTTTTTTTGTGTGTGTGTGAAAAAGATCGAAGAACTAAGAGCTAAAATTTTAGAAGGCCTTGTTAGAAAAAAGAAGAAAGAAGTTTAGAAGAATTTTGAAGGAAGAATTCAGGGTCCAGAAAGTATGCCTGGAAGGAGGTGGTGATTACAGTGTTGAGAGGGAGAATCTAGAAATAAAAGCCTTGAAATGATAATTCAGGAATGTGTAACCATCCCTATTTTAAAATTATTTGATGAATTCAACTTACAAAAATATTTCCAAATTTTTATGACTTCTGTCTCTCTCTTTTAGATTAAGTCTCCTTCAAAAAGACAAAGGAGCAAGGACTAAATGTCCTTTTGATTATTTGAGCAAATACTATAGGTTGGGGTATCATTTATATCAGGAGAAGGAGAAGAAAGAAACTTAAGGGAATTGTAAAGATTACAGTTATTGTGGGGAGCCTTGAAACTTGGGTTATTTATCCGCCTGGCCTCTGAAATAATATCACTACTGTAGTGTTATGTCTTCTTGTAGAACCCTGATTGATATGGCATTGCTACTCCTGTTAAGTCTCTCCTCTGACAGTTCTTCAGAGGTCTGTGGAGACTTCTACACTCTTCCGTATCTTCAGCATGAATAACCTCTCTGAGAATTCAAACCATCTCTTACCCACTGGGTGGGAAGTACATGGATCCTGCTGGCAGGATAGCAGGAGAAAATTCATCTACATATACTGAGAAGTTTTATGTTTTTATGACTTGAAGATATTAGTGGAGAATATAGTTAGTACACAGAAATATTTGTTATGAAGTATATTGTAAACGATGTGTTTAGTAAAGAAGTCTAATCTTTGCACAAATCACCTAGTCTCTTAAGAACAACAAAAAAAAAATACCCATATTTTAGCATGGGCATTATTAGAAAATACAGTACATAAGGCTTCAGGAGATCTGTTTTAAAATAATCTTTTCCCCCAACTCAGCAGAAAATTTAAGCAGATTCTTAGGGTCCAAAGCCTCGATGCCTCATCTTCCTCAAAACCTTTAAAGCTGACAATTTTAGTAAGATTATTTTTAATAGAGGAGTAAAATGGGCTAGTTTGTGGAAAGTGATGAAAGACAGACTGGTAGAAGTCCGTTGTGATTTACTGACCCCAAACCCAATCTGGAGACCTGTAGTCATGTTACTTAATAATTAATGCCTGAGTGAGAAAATCACTGGGCTGGAAATCCAGAGATCTGGGCCACAGTAAAAGACTTTTCTTCTCGTATCTTGGGAAAATGGACTTCAGGTTCTTAGATATTGTGATTAGTGATGAGCATTCTGTGTTTCTGTGTGCAGAGTACTTAGAGTCATTTTTAGAAAAATTGTCATAGCCGCTGGGCATGGTGTCACATGCCTGTAATCCCAGTGACTTTTGAGCCTTAGGCAAGAAAATTGCAGGTTCCATCTGAAGTTCAATTATAAGTTCCTGTCTCAAAATTAAGAAAAGAAAGGACTGGGACTGAAGATGTAGCTCAGTGGTAAGATATCCCTGAGTTCAATCTCTAGTACCAAAAAAATTAAAAAAAGAAAAAAAAAGAAAAGGAAGAGGAGCTACACCTCTTCCTCTTATTTCTGTTACAGTTATTCTATCAAGATTTTGGTTAGATTTATGGATTTATGCATTTCCCTTAGATAAACAAGCTTGATAGAATAGATAAACTTGCTTCTTGGTAGTAAAGATGCATTTGGGACCCCTGTGATTATCATATGTCCAGCAGACTAGAGAAAACTAAATCATCATCAGGTGTTTACTGAGCTTTGTCTTTGAATATAGCACCTTAAAAGGTGTTTTGGAAGAATGTGATCTACCAAAGTCCAAGTAGCACAGTAAATAGTGGGTATAAGATACTGTGTATGGACAAACTCACTGATGTGTTGGGAGTAATTAGGAAAATAAGTCCCCTTGGAAATGCTTTTGGGCTGATTTTGAAAGTAGATTGATGGAGACAAGGTAGAGGATGTTTCTCCTGTTGGTGACAATGTGAAGGAGGGTGATAGAAACCGAAAGATGTGGCTACACTTGAATGCCAGAATAAGGTTCCACAGCTGTGTGTTACTTTTATAAATAGTCACTTATTTTTGAGAGTCTGCCAGCAGTCCTTAGAACATTTTGTGTAAATTTAATTACCTTAGTGAAAATCATTTTGGAAAAAAGGAGAAAATCTCCCCAACACCTTTTTTACTTTTATTACATATGCTCAAATGTTTTAAAAATAAAACGGATAGGGGCTGGGGATGTGGCTCAAGTGGTAGCGCGCTCGCCTGGCATGCGTGCGGCCCAGGTTCGATCCTCAGCACCACATACAAAGATGTTGTGTCCGCCGAAAACTAAGAAATAAATATTAAAAAAAAAATAAATAAATAAAATAAAACGGATAACCTTAAATTTTGCTTCAATGATTTTTCTGAATTTTAGGCCTCAAGTGACAAGTCTGAATGGATTTTTAAATGCTTTTTTTTTTTTTTTTTTTTTTAATCTTTGACTCAAGAGTTTTTGTGCTAAATTATGGTGCCAGGAGCTGTCTTTCCACATCTCATGTACTTCTACTGTTTACAAGTAGGGTGGTGATGGTTTTTTTTTTTCCAGGGTACACAGGAAAGACTTAATCCATTTTCCTTTTCTGATACATACCTTTTTGTTAACAACATAAATTTTTATGACTTTTTTTGTTGGTTTGTTTGGTTATGCTCAATATCAGTTAGGGAAAATTTGCTTCTTTTACTGTAAATTGTGCTTTTGCTCAAGGTAAGAGAGAGACAAGAGCATAGAGTGTTATATTGTTTGGGTCTTCACAGACCCAGCTCCTGCAAGCAAAAGCGTCACAGCCTTGTGGTATGTCAAGGACACAGAGAATAAAGGGAGCCCAGAACAAAAAGGACTAGTGTAAATTTTACAGACTTCATTTTGTGCAAGTAACCTTAGGAAACCCACACCTCCCCTCAAAATGCCCTTTTAGTTAAAGTTATCAATTTGAACTTTGAGGAGCGATAAGCAACTTGTAATTGGCAGATAATTTTGAAGGTTACTGTTAGGCACATGCATTCTTTAGAAAAGATCACAGTCTTATTCTCATGTTTTTGTGCTTGGTATTTTCTAGGTTTTTTGATACAAAGCAAATAATAGTCTTTATATTTTA